AAACTGAACTTGTACAACAGTCTTCCTTAAATTTAAAGAATAATGTCAGCATATCTGAAACAGTTTAAGATCTTCCCCTCTAATGTTGCTTTCTAAAGTTGCACATCCTTATGAAAAAAGAAGTGTGCTTAATTATACTGAATGTGCACTTTTAGTATATATTTTTTTAACACTGTGCTTTCACATAATATATTAATGAAATTAATGGCCAAGTGTACAAAGAGAGAAACACGTTCATAACTGTTTCTTAACACACTTAAGCACACTTTAAAAAAAATTCTACTTAAAGTACATTTTAAATATGTATTTTTAATAATGTTTTGTCATGCTTTGAAGAAAAGTACACTTATTTTGATGTGTTGACTAACATATTTAAGCACATGTAAGGTACCATTTAAAATAACCATTTTAACTGTAGTGTGTTATTCAATATTATACTTTATTTAAAGTTAATATATTTTAAAAGTACTAAATTGCAATACAAATGTGCAATTCCTAATATATTTAAATGCATACAAGTTTATCATAATTGTTTGTCTGTACATTCAGCAGTAACTTTAAGCATATTTCAGAGAAAATATAATTAATTGTGAAATTACATATAAAGATGTACTAAAGTCCTACTTAAGTGCATCAAAAAAAAAAAAAAAAAATTACATTATTTATTTTATTTTTTTTTTGCTAAAGCGTTCTTATATTTCACAAGTTCAAACATATTGCAAGATGTCTTAAAACAGATTTGGGTTCAAATACTGTATGTGACCCTGGACCACAAAACCAGTCATAAGGGTCAATTTCTCGAAACTGAGATTTATACATCTGAAAGCTGAATTAATAAACTTGCCATTGAAGGTCAGGATAGGACAATATTTGGCCGAGATACAACTATTTGAAAATCTGGAATCTGAGGGTGCAAAAAAATCTAAATATTGAGAAAATCGCCTTTAAAGTTGTCCAAATTAAGTTCTTAGCAATGCATATTACTAATCAAAAATTAAGTTGTGATATATTTACATGAGGAAATGTACAAAATATCTTCATGGAACATGATCTTTACTTAATATCCTAATGATTTTTGGCATTAAAAAAAATCGATAATTTTGACCCATACAATGTTTTTTTGGCTATTGCTAAAAATATACCCCAGCGACTTAAGACTGGTTCTGTGGTCCAGGGTCACATATACAAAATGGTTATTACCAAGCATGTTTGAATATGTAGAAGAGCAAAAAGTTTTTCAGCATAAAAGCACCTAAAATTCTTATGACTTCAGAAAAAAGTATATGCATCATATGGACTATTTTAATTGTACTTTTACCCTATGGTGCTCCTTTATCAATGTTTTATAAAGGCCTAGTCAAAATAGGCTTTCTTTGTATGAGAAAGAAATGTCTTTTAGAACAAAATGAAGGCGAGAACATTATTCCACTAAAATGCTTGCACAAGCCCCAAGAACTTCTACACCAGCCGAATGCGTGTCAGCCTGGCATCTCTGACCATAAAACTGGCATAAGCAGCCCCCCTCCCTCAACCTTTCTGAGTCTTAATCTACTTAAGAGACCAACCCCGCATGTAAATCCATGCAAATGTGCAGCGAGAATTGTGTGGAAAGCAAAATCACAAGCCATGAGAGAAAATGTTCAATAAACTGTTTTACATTTTGCATGTGATTTTTATTTATTGATTGATTCTTTAATGGCTCAAAGAGTTTGATATAGGATAATTATGGCTCATAGAGTTTGATATAGGATAATGTACAGTGGGGAAAATATTTATTTGATCCCCTCCTGATTTTGGAAGTTTGCCCACTTACAAAGAAATGAAGGGTCTGTAATTTTTTTTATGGTAGGTTTATTGGAATTGTGTGGAAAGCAAAATCACAAGCCGTGAGAGAAAATGAGAAATGCTCGACACAGAATGCAGCGTCAGGCGCAGCGGTATTAATGTATCATACTGACCACCCTCTCATGTAATATTTGACCGCGCGTTTGATTCATTTGGTGCCTTTTTATTTCTGGAAAGGCCTAATCTACTCGTAGCGGCCCGATGAACTCTCACTTCCTCTCGCTTTAATTGAGTTCCAGCTCTGTGCCAGAGTTTGTCCCACTAGCCTGTTTGTTATCCTCAATGGATGCAGGAAAGAAAAAAAAAAAGAGTTTTGTGCTGAAGGCAATTTTTTGTGGGCAGTAATTAAAGGTCCAGGAAAAATGTTTATTTCAAGGAGCCAGAGAAAATACGCCGGAGTGGTGAGGTGTTTAAAAATCAAGGCTAAAATGGATTCTTTTCATGCTCCAACCCGGCAGACAGCGCATTCATTTGGGTTTAATTTCAGGGTGGAGACTCGCGCTGCTAAATTGTGGCTGAGAACTGAGGCTAATGGGATGGGATGGGATGTTTCTAAGCTCTGACCTGATTGGGCATCGGTGGCGTGTGGTGAATTTATGAAAAGATGAGGCAAAGTCGCCTCGGTGTTTGGAATTTTAGTTCTATTCAAATTCATAGTATATTTAAACTTTTACACACTGTTTACATTTACTAACAATAAGCAACCAATACTATCATATTTATACTGATTTTATATTAAAATACTATTTATTGAAAACACTTTTTTTTTAAATAGTTTTCTGACCATAAGTCACCAGATTCTGTTACTACAGGTGTCATGTTGGTTTCAGGCAGAGAGAAGCAGGTTTAATGCTTACTGAGAACCAGCTCACTCGCAGGCCAAGTTAATTTTGATTTGAACGTGTGGTTTACTTTGTAATTAGTTTGTCCATTTACACTAGTTTGACACATTCAGACTGATTTTCAGAGTGTTGTGAGCATGAGATGTGAGTATTATCAAATCTGGAAGGGTCACGAGCCAGTCACAGCATGATAGAGGACGTTTGCCCACTTACAAAGAAATGAAGGGTCTGTAATTTTTTTTATGGTAGGTTTATTTGAATGTATAGAGACAGAATACCAAACAAAAAATCCAGAAAAAAAAAAGTTTATATAAAGGTTAGAAATGTATTTGCATTTCAGTGAGTGAAATAAGTATTTGATCCCCAAGCAAAACATGACTCAGTACTTGGTGCAGTAACCCTTGTTCGCAAGCACAGAGTTAAGACGTTTTTTTGTAGTTGGTCACCAGGTTTGCACACATCTCAGGAGGGATTTTGATCCACTCCTCTCAGTTTCAGCTCGCTCCACATATATTCTATAGGATTGATGTCTGTAGATTGAAAAGCCATCTGACTGTATCATTGCACACAGTGTTTTTCTGCTGTTTGTCAGCGCTGTTTCATCTGGATTTAAACTAGTTTATATCAGTTGACTTATATTGACTGATACTAGTTTATATCAGTCATTTGTGTTCTTCGCTGAATTCAAGCACTTCACACACGCAACCACTAAGCGCTGTTTAGTGGTTGCGTGATCAGTGAGTAACTCCTCTCATGTGACTTTTCACCTGTATTTCATTCTCTATTTCCTCATTAACATTCACAGCACACGCAATGAGGAAGGCAAAAGAGTTGCTCTCTCCTGTTCATGTTTCCGAACCCTGTAAAGCCTGGCATGGAATAATAGTATATATATACTGTGTGTATATATATATATATATATATATATATACACACTATTTCCACAGAACAAATTGCCAGAAATATTGACTGATACTAGTTTATATCAGTCATTTGTGTTCTTCGCTGAATTCAAGCACTTCACACACGCAACCACTAAGCGCTGTTTAGTGGTTGCGTGATCAGTGAGTAAACACATCTGTTCTAGTCAGCTCACTCTGTGCTGCGCCGCCGTTTGAACTAAGCGGATAAATGGCAGCGCTGTTTTGTTCCGCTTTTGGCTCATAAACATTCAATCGAATATTTATCAAGGAAAATTATATCAATATAATTATTTATTGTTTTATCGCCCAGCCCTACCTCAAAGTGTATCTGCTCCTGCGCCCCCCTTAGGGGAGTGCGGACCCCAGTTTGGGAACCACTGGGCTAGACCACTCCATGACCTTAATGTGCTTCTTCTTGAGCCACTCCTTTGTTGCCTTGGCGGTATGTTTTGGGTCATTGTCATGCTGGAAGACCCATCCATGACCCATCTTCAGTATTCTGGCTGAGGGAAGGAGGTTCTCATCCAAGATTTTACAGTACATGGCACCGTCCATTTGCCCCTAAATGTGGTGAAGTCGTCCTGTACACTTAGCAGAAAACAGCCCCAAAGCATAATGTTTCCACCTCCGTGCTTGACTGTAGGGATGGTGTTCTTGGGGTCATAGTCAGCATTTCTCTCCCTCCAAACACGGCGAGTCGAGTTAATACCAAAGAGCTCAATTTTGGTCTCATCTGACCACAGCACTTTCTCCCAAGCCTTCTCTGAATCATTTTGATGTTCTTTGGCAAACTTTAAACGGGCCTGTACATGTGACATGGTCGACATAGATTGATTGATTGATTGATTGATTGATTGTGTTAGTTAACAACCATTGGCAGGTGTGGCAAAAAGGTCTCTTTTGTGCTTTTAGGGGACAGTCGTGGCCTAATGGTAAGAGAGTCGAACTTGTAACCCAAAGGTTGCAGGTTCGAGTCTCAGTACTGGCAGGGATTGTAGGTGGGGGGAGTGAATGACCAGTGCTCTCTTCCACCCTCAATACCACGACTGAGGTGAGACCCTTGAGCAAGACACCGAACCCCCAACTGCTCCCCGGGTGCCGCAGCACATGGCTGCCCACTGCTCCGGGTGTGTGTGTTCACTACTCACTGCTGTGTGTGTGCACTTGGATGGGTTAAATGCAGAGCACAAATTCCAAATAGGGGTCACCATACTCGGCCACACGTCACTTCACTTTTTCTATTTCTCCAATCCTTTCCTCCCTAGTACATTGTGTTTGGGAACAGATTTAACTGTGATACATCAGCGAAACGTGAACAATCTATTAGGTCATGAGCAATCCCAACAAGAGATGATGTTTGAGTGTGTCAGTGGATCAATGGATTGCAAACCTCTGTTGTGAGTTTGTCCTCTCCTGCGGCCAGTAGAGGAGCTGTGCTTAACGTTCTGGAAGTGTGTGATCTCCATAGTGGTGTTGGTCCGGAAACTCTCTTTAAACCTCTGCATCAGGGCCTCTACACTCTCCTGATCTGGGTCCAGCACTGAAATAAACACACACATACACAAACCCGTGAGACATCTGTTGTGAGTTTGTCCTCTCCTGCGGCCAGTAGAGGAGGTGTGCTTAACGTTCTGGAAGTGTGTGATCTCCATAGTGGTGTTGGTCCGGAAACTCTCTTTAAACCTCTGCATCAGGGCCTCTACACTCTCCTGATCTGGGTCCAGCACTGAAATAAACACACACATACACAAACCCGTGAGACACTGGAAGACACACACCACTGCTGAAAGGCATTAGAGGGCAGCACATGATTTACTACATGAGCAAAAATGCTGAAGTCATGCTTATCTATTCCTGTGTTAAAAAAGATAAATGAATGTAAAGGCTGTGAGATGATTTACTCAGTAAATGCTTTGTCCTTAAAAGAGAAATGAGGACATATGAGTTATGCATCTCTAGAACTTAATTTATCGTGTCTTTTACACACTCTCCTTTCCTGTCCACTGTCTTATCGCTCCACATCATCTCGTTGCTCTTATCATGAACAGGCGGGCTTTGATGTGCACATTTTGGAAAGAAGGATAAAGAATGTGGAAAAAGTGCAGGCCATGGGGGGAAGAGAGTTTCCTCTTCAGCAGTTTGCACAAGTAAAAGACCTTTTGTTATCACCATGAGAGTAAAAGTCGTGATACTCCCGAGATGGTTTCCTCCTGTAGAGTCAAAGCTCTGCAGAAACAGTCCTTGAAAAAAGTCCAAAAGTAAAATAAAAAGCAGTGAAATACTACCTTGCTAGTAGTGTGTGAACAACCTTGACCATGCTTTTTGATCATTTAATTGCAAAACCATGGCTGATGTGGTGTTACAACAGCTTCCACACTTCCGGAAAGACTGTGGGAACATGGTTGCAGGGATTTGCTCCCATTTGGACACAATAGCATCAGTGAGGTCCTGCCTTGATATTTGTTAGAGTGGCCTGTCCCACAGTCCAATTACCCATTCATCCCAAAATGTTTTCACTACACTTCAGGTGCAGGCCAGTCAAGGTCTTCCACATCAGACCGAAAAACCATTTTACTGGTGGCATCCCCTTGAGAAAGAGAAGTTTTAAAAAGAGCACTTTTTACGGATATATTTTACTTTAAAATAATATACTTAAATGCAGTTTGAACACTAAATTGCATGTCAATTGAAATTGAAATTGAGATGTAATACAGTTATTATTAAATATATTAGCTGAACTTTTCAGATGTACATATTTATATTCAATTTCATACTTCTATTGCCTTTGAAATATGGTCAAAGTGTACTGCTGAATGTACTGACAAGCATTTATGGTAAACTAAAATACAATTGTAATGTAACTTCTATTGAAACTTGTATGCCATGTTTGTCAATAAATTTGTAATTACACATATGCAAATGTGAAGTTGCAATTTAGTACATTTAAAATACTCTAACTTTAAATGTAATAACACACTACTTTTAAAATTATAATCATGCACTTTAATAAGAGTCCTTCTTTAAAAGATGACAAAAGATGATTAAAACAATTATTTAAAATGCACTTTAAAGTAAAAGTTTTAATTTGTATTATTGCAAAGTGCATTTTTAAGTGTGTTAAAGGGGTCATATGATGCTGTTAAAAAACATAATTTTGTGTATTTGGTGTAATGAAATGTGTTTATGCGGTTTAAGGTTAAAAAAACACATTATTTTCCACATACTGTACATTATTGTTTATCCTCTATGCCCCGCCTTTCAGGTCAACCAAAGTAGTTTTGCTTTCACAAGGAAACACAGCGCCTTCACGACATGACGGCGACAGCAACAACAATACTACAGCGAGAATAAAAGTTACACCTTCTTTCCTTGCGGAAACTTAAGTGGTATTTTATGTATTAAGTTTTTTGTTTTTTTTCAGTGCCACAATGAAAGTGACAGTGCTTTTTGGTGCGCCTCATTCTACTGAAAACATAGAGATTACAAGTCTAAATGCTTGATTTTGTAAATCTGTTAGTAATGTGTGGGGGCATCCAAATAATCTTGATTATAAACTTTTGTTTTGCATTATTTCAGAGAGTCACACTATAAAGTTCAGACTATAAAAGTTTACAATTCAACTAAAACCATGTGAAGGCCAAATGGTGAGCAACTTTTAAAGTATTTTATTGGCTTGCCAAAAAAAACAAATAAATAAATAATTCCACACGGATGGAGCGCATGTGTTGGAATTCATGTGGGGTCACTGCATGATTTTAGTAAATGTCTTTGGCCCCCCATTTGGAAATCAACAGTACTTCCAAACAGGGGGCCAAAGCAAAGACGAACAGGTGGCGCGATGCCCTCAACGCTGCAATGTTTGTATTGTATTTCCAACTGGCAGCACATCAGAGTGCCTCAGGGGACGCCGCTGACCCATCTCAATATGTTCTGGCCCATTTGCACCACAGCAGAAGCATAATATATAAAAATAAACTTCCCCTTTTATTGTCTGCTCCAGGAGTGGGAGGTGGTGAAACAGAGAGATGGAGTGGGATGAGATGCCTCAAAGAGTCGCAAACAATTTATCTCCCACCTCCATTACAAAGATGCATCGCTACTCCCTACGGCCGGTGCTGCATCACAACTTCAATTAACTTGAGATATGTAGAGGGCCGCTCTCTCCACGGAGGCATAATGGCTCTGGACAGCGGCGATTTCCTCGCCGAACTGTGTGGCTTTATGTTGAAGGCCCCCTGATGGAGAAGTTTGCAGATGGATGAGGCTGTGGTCCCTGTAGTGAGCGACTGGTTATTTATTTTGCTGAGTTTCACTTGTGTGTGTGCCATTCTGTCTAATTAGCAGCTGCTTGCTAATGTACGTGTCAAACTTTCATGTGTAGATACTGTTCACTAGACACAAGATCAGTGTGGAAAAACCTGCTGCGAAAGCATTTTATCGCTGTGCATGTACAGAAAAAGTCGATTCTACAAATACAAAGAAAAGGTTTTTATTTTGCAAGAGTGTGGAACCAGCCAACCGACACTCTTAAAAACTACGGTTCTTTATTGACATCACTGGTTCCATGAAAAAAAAAAAAAAAAAAAAAAAAAAATTTAATTAATTTTCCA